CAAGGGAATGAGGAGAAGGCGAAGATGTTCAAGGGTTTCGATAAGGTGAGAAGAGGGCGGTGGGCAACAGGATATTTTAAGCCAGACGATGTCGTTTTGGGAAGGATACTGAGAGTGCCACACGTGGCACAACAAAACTCCCTCTTTTATGTAGTTAGGATATGCAGTAGAATGACTTCTGGACGGCTTGATCAAAAAATCTATTAGTTTATCAAAGTCAAGCGTCCTACCTTAATTTGACCAAGATAAAAATTACTTTATCGCCCCTGTTTGGACTCGATCTATCTTCTTATCGATCACAAATTCTCTAATAAAATAATATTACACGTAAATCTAAAAATTTTCTTTCTTTTTTAACTACACATTCTCTAAAAAATTAATATTTCAAGCAAAACCCGCTCTAGGTAGAGCTTTTCAAGTCATAGCTGTACTTTTCATTACACGCTATTTGTCCTTTGACTGATAGCAGTTATTTTTTATTAGATTTTCAGCCAAATGGCCAAGCTCCCATCTGATGTACAAACAAGGCAATTACGCCTGGCCATGTAGGAGGAGATACCGATGAGATCCCTAACCACGTTAACAATTTCAGGTAAGTAGCTCGGAATGCTATCGAAGCAGGTTAGCAATTAATACGTAACGAGTTAAAGAAGTTAAAATGTTGTACACATAATGAACCATAATTTTAGGGCCTTTGTATAGCTGAAGGGTTTAAGGATGGAATCAATATGCACCAGTTTACAGGTTTTGATGGAGTTCAGATCCATGGAGGATACGACTGATTGGTCAGTTTCTGAAGGATCGAGTAAATGATAGAACAAAAGAGTGTGGAGGGATATTGGAAAACCGACGTCGCTTTGCACTGGAAAGTGTGGAATCAAAGAGCAACGAGATTGGAGCTAATAGTCTGGATAAAACTATCTCCTCATGGTACTTAGACGAAGTTGGAAGACTCAGATCCCGATGATTTGGGCCCTTACATGGCTGATGCACTAAATAAATTCGACGTTCTCTATCTTCATAACCAAGGGTGCTCAATGGGGCCGAAAATGAAGCTCCTCATAGACTCCTTCCAATGAGAATAGCTTTCAAGAATACTTCTATTGCTACTGATGTCTATAACAGAATTATGGGTTATCAAAATTCACCTCTCAATTATTCCAAGACAGTAGGTGAAAGCAGAAATGATAACATACAAACACAAAAATTTGCTAGCACGCTCACTGAAATTAATAATACAGGAAACAAATCCTACAAAAAATATTACTTCCATTTGTAGTATCAGAAACTAAACAACCTTGTGAAACTAGTCGTCAAGTTATTTTATAAAATAAAAAAATAATGTTATAAATACCATAAAAGAAAAAAAAAATCTAAGAGGTTCTAACATTAAGAACAAGAATAGTAAGCAGATGGAAGTTCAAAACATGTCATAAGAGCAACAATAAGTTGATTAATTGGTTTACTTTTTCTTAATCTCCGCAGCCATTGTTAAGAAAGCCTGCTCTACATTGATAGCATCTTCTGCACTCGTCTCAAGGAAAGAAATCCCAAGCTCATCTGCAAATGCCTGCAATGAGGTCCAGAGTGAAATACGTGGGCAACGAGACCACGGGGGTGAAGGTAGTTAAACAATCAAAAATAAATAGACTTCGCCTCTTTTTGGCAAATTTATAAATAGGAAGGAAAATAGTAGTGGGTCCCACGAAATTTGTGAATAATAAAGAGTAGTAGTAATGAATGTGTGGTTCAAATTAATGTTTGACTTTGACTGAATTTATAAATTTGTATATAAATGGAGGCTTAAAATAACATTATATATATATTAAATATAATATGAAGTTTCATATATGGAATGACTATGAACAGATAAAGTGACAATTATAAGAGAATTTTATATTTGTAGACTAAGCTAAATTGGGTGTTGAAGAATACAGTTTAGCTTTTTATATTTTTTATATATCACATCGGAGCAACTAAAACTATTACCTTTGCTGTTTGTGTGTCCACGACTTTGTTTTCTACTAGATCGCATTTGTTCCCCACTAAAAGTTTGCGTACACTATCATTTGCATATAAGTCAATTTCATTCAGCCCTTGCTTAACATTGTTAAAGCTCTCCATTTCGGTCACATCATACACGATCTGTAATACAACAAGATTATTCATATGAAGAAAGAAAAGGGAACGCATGGAAGCATGTAAAGACAAGCAACAATGGTAGTTAAAATTAATATACACCACAAGCAGTGGTGGAGCCAGCACCCAGCGAGCCAGGGCAGTCGCCCATGCTGGCTCCTTCGGAATTGGAGTTTTGAATATGGAGCTTATTCACGGAATTGGCATGCTATTTTTCCACTGTTACAGCGGGTCAGCCCAAATTAGGTTGTGGTTCTAATAAAAATGAAGAACGAGCTATGAAGCAGAAGAAGGAAGCTTCACCAGAAGAATGTAACAAGGCAATTGAAGGTTTGAGCACTGTTAAAGCCAAAGCCAAGCAGCAAGAATCCCAGAAGGGTGCTAAACCTATACTGAAGAGAATGTGGCCTATGCTTTTAGCGATTAGTCCTGCTTTAAGGGCGTTGCTTCTATGAGCAGGTATACTTGTGACTTTTTCTTTTTGATGTCCAAAAAGTCCTATAGTATGTCTTTTTTATTATTCTCTGCTCTCCTTGATTTAGGGAGGATTGGGCAAAAAAGTTGAGGCACTTGAAGGATGAGTTCAAATCCACAATGCAGCAGTACTGGTTGGTTACTAGACTATTTTGGTCTAATATTAGAATAAGTTCAAGGCTATTGTTAAAACTTGCTAGCGGGAAGACTCTTTCCCGGAGGGAGAGGCAATAACTCACACGAACAACTCTATATGATTTTTACGTTTTAGTGTATTTATATGTTGATTGAAGAATTTTTTAAATATTATTTAATTAAATATTAATAAAAAATCTCGTTAATGCGGCCGTTGAGGTCAACGATCGCCCTAACTCACTCGAATTCCTGTATCCACTCCTAGCTACAAGGTATCCCAAGCAACCACCATGAAACTTCTGCTCTAGATTTGTGAGTTTGAATCAACTCAATTGAGTGAAAATGGCTCAAAACTTGAAAATGAGATTTAACACCTGGATACAAACAATAAAAATAGTGAAAGCACCAGAAATAATATGATCCATTGTGAGATAGTCAGAAAACCAGAAATTAAAAGAGTACAGAAAATAGATGACACCCGTCATTTAAATGAAAGACGACCACTTATGAATAGCAAAAGAATGCATAATGGAATTGGATGCCCCGAATGGGGAAATAGCATGTAAAACAACATTGACCTTCAACAATTCCAATCATCATGTTCAGTCATCAGTTCATAGTTTAATGCTAAAGATGGAGCTTTATTGTACCTATTTGCACGCCTTTATGCAATAAAACACCACAACCAAATGCCAGATACATATGGTCAAGAAACTTGAGAACAACCACAACTACATTAACATCTTTCTTACAATGATCCCATGTGCTCCTCCAAAGTTACTGCTCATGATGGTACGAAATCGCTCTTGGCCAGCAATATCCCACTAGAAAGACAGAGAATAGAATCTATCGCGTTAATCTTGCTAAATAATAACATTATTCAATAAATCTACATGACAGACAACATTCTATCCTTTATGTTTCCTTGTTCGTATAATTAGAAGTAGCTGCCTTAGTCATAGTTCATCATTATAAAATGAAGCACTGATTTCAGAAAGCATGCATATACAATGTGAGAAATAGGACAGACGATTATGTGTCCCTTTCATGTTGGAAATTCGGAAAAACATAGTATAAACCTAAAACCAATGTTCAGTGCGTGATAGATTATGATTTTATTATTAAAAAAAAAAAGTAAAATACATCCACTATGTTATAGAAAAGGATGCAAAAGCATCCAGCCTTCCGCTATTTGATCACAAAAAGAAGTAAAAGTCCACCCTCTGGATAAGAAGGACTCGTATAAATTAATAAATTACAAGTGTAGATAACCATCGTGACAAGCAAGGGGTGACATCCTAAACAGTAGCACACAGCTGGAGAAAATGTCAGTAACTTTGTTATGCTCTTTCATACTTTACTCAAATCCAACAACTCAGAATGCAAACCACCTTGGAAAAAAATCATGCTTCACTCAAGATATAGAAACCCATGACAGATGAAGTGTCCCAAAACCACATTATGTCTTTGAAATAAATATGGGAGATTTAAACTGAAATTTCTTTTTCTCCATAGAGTCCAAATACTACAACATTTTCGCCATTAATCTTGAATCTTGCAAAAAATTTGCTTTCTCCCAGCAGAGTACGATTTCAAAAAATTAATACGGCGATGAATTAAATGTGAAAACTTCAGATGACAATGTATCTACTAGGAAGTTAAGTTCACGACAACAAACAAAGAGCTTAATGTTATTCATTTAAATACACAAGAAAGCAAATGAAATATACATGTTTTTTCAAATAAAAAGGGGCTGGGTTAATTTAAAATGTATTTATAAACGTTTAATCTTATAGAAGTGAGTTAGTGTAGTTAGCTCACAATTTGCAACTCGATTGACTTCCCATCCAGCTCTATTGTCCTAATTTTCTGCAAGAATTACCCTCAATAATGTCATAAAAGTGTACCAAACAATCTCAAAAATAATCAAACAACGCATAAGCTACAAAAACATAGAGAGAAATTAAGAGTAACTTACAAATCAACTCCTATGGTGCTAATGTAACTGTAAACGTAGGAATCATCCTGAAATCATCAACCAAATAACAAATTACCACAGAATAAACTGCTGAACAGAAGTGTCTAATAAAACCATATTGAGCTGAAAATAATTAGCAAGAATGCATCCCAAAAAAGCCCATTGAAATTGTAATTTTAAGCAAAAAAATAATGGAGCCGATTATAAGAAACCAAGTCTTTAAAGTACCTAAGTCATTTAAAAATTAACTTATCAAATGAGGAATACAAATACATCCAAAGCATTTATTGAAGAAAAGAAGAATTAAAGATGAAAATAGCTTTTTCATTCAATCAAACGAAATCTTTAAAGTACCTAAGTCATTTAAAAATGAACTTATCATATGTAAGATACAAATACATCCAAGTAAGCATTTATAGAAGAAATGAAGAATTGAAGATGAAAGTAGCGTTTTCATTCAATCAAACGAATGCATATTACAGTGGTAGCTTTTAAATAGAGCAACTAACTAATTACAACAACTAACTAACTAACTAATCTTGACAACTGTACATAACTACTTCCTAACTAACATTGGCGCTAAATAGACTTGAGCTGAGCTGGACACTTGTCGCTGAATCGTTGATGCTTGCTGCCTTGCTGAATCCTTGGGTGTTGCAGCAGAATAATTTTCTGGTATTTCATTTATTCTAACACGCCCCCTTCAAGATGGACCATGGAGATTGAGAATGGTCATCTTGGAAAGTAAAGGAAAGAAGGAAGAAGCTGGTAAAGCCTTGGTGAATATGTCAGCCAACTGATGTTTAGATCTAACTGGCAATAACTTGATAAAACCATCAACTACCTTATCACAAACAAAATGACAATCAATCTCAATGCATTTTGTTCGTTCATGAAAAATAGGATTGCTAGCAATGTGAAGAGCAACCTGATTATCACAAAAAATAATGCAGGAGATACTTGAGTGATTTGCAAATCAAGGAGTAACTGATGTATCCACACTAATTCACTAGCAGTAGCTACTAATGCCCAGTATTCTGTCTCTGTAGAGGACCTGGAAATTTTATGTTGTTTCTTAGCTTTCCTAGAAATAAGGGAGTCACCAAGAAATACACAAAGACCTGCGATAGACTTCCTTGAATCAGGACAAGAGCCCCAATCCGCATCAGCAAATGCACGAAGTTACATAGAAAAAGAAGCTGAGAAGAACAACCCCTGACCTGGAGCTGACTTAAGAAACCGTAGAAGATGATGAACTGCATCAAGGTGCGACTGACGTGGTTTGGAGACAAACTGGCTAAGTTTGTGAACTGCAAATGTGATATTAGGACGTGATATAGTTAGATAGAGCAAACATACAACAAGTCTTCGATTGGACGAAGCATCAATATCAGCCAAGAAATTACCATCAAAAGAATTAAGTCGAGCCTTAGGATCCATAGGCAAAACAGCGGGTTTGTAAGCAAAAAATTCAATGTCCTCCAACAACCGCAATGTGTAATTTCTATAAGACAAGCAAAGCCCTTTATATGATCTCGCTATCTCCAAGCCAAGAAAGTACTTCGATTTGCCCAAGTCCTTTAACTTGAACTGACTATGTAAGAATGATTTCAAGGAGGCAATGGCACTGTGATCAGAACCTGTAATTATAATGTCATCGATATAGACTAATAAGGCAACAAAGGAAGGTCCTAAGCCCTTTGTAAACAAAGAATAGTTTGATTTAGATTGATGGAAGCCATATGTAATGAGAGCTTGAGAGAACTTGGAGAACCAATGTCGAGATGCCTGGCAAAGGCCATAGATAGACTTATGAACTTTACAAACTGATTTGCCCTCTTTAAGAACATCAGCAGGTAAATTGGATTACCCCAAAGGTAGATCCATACAAATCTTCATTCAAGAAAGCATTGTTCACATCCAACTGTACAAGTTGCCATTTATTAATAGCTGCAATAGCAAGTATTGGCTTGACAGTAACCAGTTTAGCAACAGAAGAAAATGTGTCAATGAAATCCAGCCCCCCTTGCTAGGTGTAACCCTTGGCCACTAAGAGTGCTTTATACCTGCCTATACCTCCATCAGGTCCAAATTTAACCTTATATACCCATCTACGGCCAATTGAATGTTTTCCCTGAGGCAGATTGGTTATAGTCCATGTGTTATTTGACTCCATAGCTGCCAACTCAGCAGCCATGGCTTCATTCCACTGATCAGATGCAACATCTAGTTGATAAGACTGTGGTTCAACATGTGAGGAGACATTGAGAATAAATGTTTTGTGTGAATGAGAAAAGAAGTTGTATGAGAGGTATTTAGTCAAAGGATAAACAGAATTGTTGTCAGGAGGTAATTGATTTGCTAGAAAATTACAATGGAATTCACGAAGATAAGATGGAGAATTAGTCACCCTAGTAGATCTTCTAGGTACGGAGGAAGGAATGGAATTGCAATTAAGACTTTGATGGCATTGAGAAGAATCAGAGGAAGAACTGGAAGAGGGTTCAAGGGAAATGTCATTATTTGCAGCTGAATCTGATGCTGAATGATTTTCAATCAAAACATCATTGTTGGTAGAAGTAGAAGACTACGAGGCTGGATGATGAACAACTATATCAGAGGTAATGTTTGGCAATACAACATCAGGGAAATGATTTATTGAGTCTGATGTAGAGGTTATAGATTGGAAAGGAAAATGGTTCTCATGAAATACCACATCCCTAGATATAAGAAAGGATTTAAATATCATAAAGCTTGCATCCTTTGATACCTGGGGGTATCCAAGAAAAACACAAGCTTTAGCTCTATGAGAAAATTTGTTTCTATGAGAAGGGAGTGTAGATGCAAAGCAAAGACTACCAAATACTT